GCTTTATTGACTATGCAATTTGATTTTCATTGTCATTGTGTGGAACACGACAAGGTGTGGACAACATTGCAGAGAATGAGTATTCTGGACCATTTAATTGTGCTCATAAGAAACCTACATATAGACCCAGAAGCAGCCATTTGAACAGAACAAGGAGACACTGAATGGTTTAATAATTGGAAAGGTGTGTGTCAGGGTTGTATTCTTTCACCACTCTTACTCAATCTGTATGCTGAGCAAATAACATGAGAAGCTGGATTATATGAAGAAGAATGTGGCATCAGGATTGGAGGAAGACTTATTAAAAACCTGCATATGTAGATGATACAACTTTGTTTGCTGAAAGAGAAGCAGACTTAAAATACTTACTGATGCAGATCAAAGACCACAGTCCGTGGTTGTAGCTGCACCTCAATAGAAAGAAAGCAAAATCCTCATAACTGAACCAAAACATAACATCATGATAAATGAAGAAAAGATTGAAGACTTCATTTTGATTAGATCAACGATCAACACTTATGGAAGCAAAGATCAAGAAATCAAACAACATAGTGCATTCAGCAAATCTGCTGCACCACATGTTTTTAAAATATTCAAGAGAAAAGATGTTACTTTGAAGACTAAGGTGCACCTGACCCATGCCATGGTAATTTCAATAGCCTCATATGCATGTGAAAATTGAACAATGAATAAGAAAGACTGTAGAAAATTGATGCATTTGAGTGATGGTGTTAGTGGTGAACATTAAAAACATCATGGACTGCCAGAAGAACCAACCAATCTGTGTTGGAAGAAGGATAGCCAGAATATTCCTTAGACGCCAGATGACCAGACTTCATCTTTCATAGTTTGGTCATATTATCAAGAAGGACCAGTCACTGGAGAAGGACAACATGCTTGGCAAAACAGAGGGTCAGCAAAAAAAGGAAGATACTCAATGAGATGGAATGGCACAGTGGCAGCAGCAATGGACTAAAGTCTAGCAATGATTGTGAGATTGGAGTATGACTGGTAGGGTTTCATTTTATGCGTTGGTACTAACTTGATGGAACCTAACAACAACCACAATAAAGGCTCCTCCTGGAGAGCTCATCATGATCTCATACATACGGACACCTTAATCACTCCTGTCCCAGGCTTAGAATCTGCCCCCTTACCTTTGTTCTACTTTTCTTGGTCCATTTCCGCTGTAGCTAATAGTTTGCTTGTCAATCATCCTAGGGATTATTGTTGCTGGGTACCACTGAGTTCATTTTCAACTCAGATCAATCTCATGTGGCAGAGTAGAACTTGCCTATAGTGTTTTCTAGGATGTCATCTTTACAGGAGCAGATCCCCAGGTCTTACTCCCACAGATTCATTGCATGGGTTTGAACTGCACACCTTTCAGTAAGCAGCCAAGCACTAGCTAGCCTCCACTCTAAGCTAAATATATTAACTTCCATAATCAAGCCCTCAAATTAGTAGTTGGAGTTCTGGTGTGACGTTATAGGATAAACACTAGACTGCTAACCACAAGACTGGCAATTCAAATCTATCAGCCACTCCTCAGAGACCCTACACAGGGTTTCTGAGTCAAAACTGACTCAATGACACTTAATAGCAACAAGCAGTAGTTACAGTTAGCGGTTCCACAATTTTGGCAAGTTCTTCTGACTGACAATGGGAATGGGAGAGAAGTCTCAGAAATCAGAATGTTGGGTGTTGGGATTTCCCTGGAGAACTCACCAGGATGAGCAAGCAACGGCTTTCTCTGATGGCACCACAGCATCCCAGGAAACCCAGCATCATGATAATGGAACCCACAGCAATCAAGAGATTTGTAGGAATCTGGGAGTTAATATTTCCATGACTGATAAGCTGAAAAGAAATCATGATTAATGATAAGGAATCTTTTCCCTTGAAGTTTGTTTTGCTCATCAACAAATATTCATTGTGTAGCTACTGTGTACCAAATCCTTGAGATACCCCTACACCTTGAAATACTTCAGTGATTAAACCATGCAAAAATCACTGCTTTGAAGGAGGTTATATTCTATTGAGGAGCCCTGATAGCATAGTGAATTATTAGCTGTGTTGCTAACTGCAAAGTCAATAGTTCATATCTTCCAGTTGCTCTGCAGGAGAAAGATGAGACTTTCTATCCTCAAAAAAGTTTACAGCCTCTGAAACTCTACACAAGGTCACTGTGAGTCAGAACCGATTCAGTGGCACACAACCACTGCCACCATTACTGTATTTCAATGAAGTGTAATTTGTCTAAATAATGTTTCCAACTCTCTATTTTCTAAAATGATATCCTGGAAGTTGGATGAAAGAAATGTAATGGGTTTTTAAAACATCAATTATTTAAAAAGGCTTAGAAGGATGACTTTTACTCCTTTTGCTATGATTTTGGGGTCACATATTTTGTGCTTTAGCTAAGTTGTTATTGTGTTTTAGTTCCCATGGGGTTGATCCTGATGCATGGTGACTCCAAATGTACAGAGCACAACTGCATTGCGTAGGGAGAGAAGATCTCTGGGCTTTACTTCTACAGTGACTTTGGATGTGATTTAACCACCAACTTGTTGGTTAGTAGTCCAGGACTTAATCATTTGGGCCACCCAGGGAATACTATGTTTTATAAGTATTGTTGTTGCTCTTGTTAAGTGCCGTCGAGTTGGTTCCGACCCATAGAGACCCCATATAGGGTTTCTGAGGAGCAGCAGCTGGTTGGTTTGAACCACCAACTTTGCAGTTCAAACTGACCTTGCAGACCAGCACATTATCCTGCAGTACCACATCAGGACTCCTGTATAAGCAGTATTATAAAGAATGTGTTTAAACGGTAATTTTTTTTATGTCTAAGTTCCTTGTAATAAACACAACATGAATAATTCTCAAAGACATTATATTTAAACTAAGGAAACGAGACACAAAATAGTAAATACTGTATTATTCCATTTATATGAAGCTCAAAACCAAGCAAAACTAATTTATGATCATAGAAATCAGACCAGTGCTCAACTTACCAAACCCAACAAGTGTGAAAGCAAGAATAATTGGAGAGGGAACAGAGAGAACTTTATGAGTTGATGAAAATGCTTTGTGTCTTTACTGGGGTAGTGATCACACAGATCTATTTATTTGTCAAAATAAACAAAAGAAATTCAAACTAAGAAAAACAAATTCCTGTTTCTGATAGTCCATATCAATTCTATTTCTTCCTTTCCAGAAGATAAAGTGTATAGAATCTTTCAGAGTGTTTTTTTTTTTTTTTTGGTCTGGAATATCAAGGCTCTCTATGGTATGTTAGGTTACATATCCTGCCTAATACAGTTCTTCATCCCCCTCATCATCTTCACAAGACCTTGCCCAGTCTATTACCAATCCTGCATATATGTTCACAAGTAAATCAAAATTAAAAAACGAAGCCTTGTGCTTGTATTCTATGTGAACAATAGGCATAGCCCATCTGCCATGTATACCCTCTATCTACTGGGCTATTTCAGTCAAACATTAGTTCTCAGACTAACTCAGAGATTCTGTCTCCTAGGATCTGCAGTATAGCATGCAGGCCAGCCCCATTAAAGTCAATGCCAAATGATTGCTACTGCTATTAACCATTTTGTTTTGTTTTGTTTTTAAGGGATTTAGAAATCAACTCAAAACCTAGAGAACATCTTTATTTAACAATCTGTGTGAAGCAATGTGCTAAAGTTGTAAAAGCATTTAAATAAAGATCTACATTCCAGTCAGGACCTTGATATACCACTAAGTTAGTAGCAGTAAACTAACCCTGCTGGACCCCAGTGTCCCTTCATCAAAAGGACTGGCTTAGCCTCAGTGATAGCTAAGGTTTCCTTTGTCTCTAAAAGTCTATGCTTACAATAAAATTTCATTTTATATATTTAGAAAGCTTGGTTATGTCTTAAAGGTTATTTTTATTTGTTTAGAGGGAAGGATCATTTTTTGTTTGCTAGTTGGTTAAGATTGGAGATAAAAGATTAATTTTATTAATTAACAAGCATGACCAACCAAAATAAAAACCCATGGCCATCAATTTGACTCTGTCTCATAGTGCCTTATTGTTACTGCTATTAAGGGCCGTAGAGTTGTTTTTTACTAATAGCAACCTGTATAGGGTTCCAGAGGCTATAAATCTTTGTGGGAGCAGAAAACCCCATCTTTCTCCTGTGGAGTGACTGGTAGGCTTGAACCGCCAATCTGGAGTTCACAGTCCAGTTCTTATCCTATGGAGCTGCCACACTACCATAGGGCCCTATACCTGGGTTAAAATACATGTTGATAAATATGCAGCACTAGAAAACTAGATCTATGAATTCAGCACCAAATAGAAATGTCACTAGAATGCCACAGTCAACATGGGCAGACCCAGTGATGAGTCATGAGAACTTAGGTGAGCAAGCCCAAACACAGAAAGAACAGGCCAAATGTCTACAACTCAGGGGCAGATAGTGTGGCCAAAACTGTGAGACTAGGCTGGGTAGGCTGACCTCACGGAGAAAGACTGAGCTCACTTTTCCAAGTCAAGCCTGATGAGTAGCTAGCTATCATTGTCTAGGAATTAAGTGGAAATCTGAGTTCAGATGTTTGCTCCAGAAACAGGAGAGAAAGATTTTAAAAGCTACCTGGGGTGAGCACTGTGTCTGTGCATGTCTTAGGACAAGGGAAGAATTTCTAAATAAGAGGAATGGCTGCACCTAAAGAAGAGTGGGGACAGGGATCCTAGGACAAGGACGACTGCCTATATGCTTTGCCTCATGGAGCTGTGTTTATCCTGAGGGAGAACAAAGTATCCCTATAAGACACTTTAGTAAGGAGAGATGCCACCTCCCACTTGTCCTTTTTTTCCTGTGTTTATGCCTGTCCTTTCCCTACTAAAACCTCTACCTCTGTCTTTCACTTGTAAAACACAGCTCTTTGCACAGTCCTAACTCTCTCACTGACTTCAGGTCAATAAAAATTAAATTCATTTCATACAAGTCAAATTGGTTACTGTTCTAGCAGATATGATATGGGCTTTTGTTGAAGGTAGAGGTTGACAGAGCACAGGAGTCAAAATGCAACTAAAGATGTTGTTTAGCAGTATTAATTCATTCGAATCCACAGATGTATAGTAACACCCTCTCAGGAACAAGCGTTCTCCTTTAATACATTCAATGTGTATAATTTAACAGAGTAAACACCAAATTTGTTTACCAGAAAAATTAAAGAAAAAGAAAATGGTCTCATATCAACCAGAAATGCAAGTTGTATATATATTTTGAAAAGGCCAAAGTCCCTCCTACGGATGTGGCAGTGAATCTCTTTGCTCAGTTGTGAGGCCCAGATATCAGAGTCTAGATGACTGGCAACTCTGGTGTTGTTGTTAGGTGTTGACACGTAGGTTCTGACTCATCGCAACCTTGTGCACAACAGAACTGAACACTGCCTGGTCCAACACCATCCTGATCATTGTTGTCACACTTGAGGCCATTGCTGCTGCCACTGTGCCAATCCATCTCCTTGGAAATCTCTCTCTTCTTCACTGACCCTTCACTTTACCAAGCATGATGTCCTTCTCTAGAGACTAGTCCCTCCTGATAACATGTCTGAAGTATGAGAGGTGAACTCTCGCCATTCTGGCTGTACTTCTTCCAACACAGATTTGTTTGTTCTTCTGGCATGCATGGCATTTTTAGCATTCTTCTCTAACACCATAATTCAAACATATCAATTCCTTTATTAAAATCTCCTGTTTGAGGGATAGTGTTTTATCCAATTTCCAGAAAGACTGTTCCATGGCTAACACATTGCCAGGCACATAGAAAGTAATTTTGATTAATTCAACTGGATTATAAAAACCACATATCAGGAAAAATGATTAAAGGAGGCAGTTAAGAAAATGATATCTAAATGTTTATTATTATTATCATTGCTTTCATCACTATAAAAGTAATGAACTACTTTGTGGGTGGGAGGCTTATAGAGAGTCTTTTAGTTATATACATATTTACCTCATGATCATCTTGGTTTACTCGCACCCAGATTGCTACTGCAAGGATTGCGGTACCACATAGCTGCAGGGTGAATAAAAAAATATGTTAGGATGTAATTAAGTTAAAATTAAACTAACGACACATAAAGTCCATTCAATCTTATTGCAGCGATTTATCATTAATTACACTATTATAAGATTTAAAAGACATAAACGACGCTTCAGGTAAATGCTAAAATATTAAAGTGCAACTTATAAATTTGATAAGAATAATTCTCTCTCATTAAGTCTGTTTGAGGATCTGTGGACAAGAAATCATCTCCATTTGGGAGAGAAGAATTATTTTCCAAGGTTAAACTCCCATTCTGTGTTTTCTATAATGTTTAACATACAAAAGATAACTCAAAAGAGTTTAAGTATAAAATATCCTCATTATGCTCCTGGGTTTGCCTCTGAGGTACATTCTAAGACCAAAAAATAAGGCAATAACCAACTAATCACCAAACATTCATTCAAGATTCAAGAACCAGGAAGAAGTTGGGATAGCCAGGGAAAAGTAGGACATGGGACAAAATTTGCAATGACAAAAAGTATCAATTAACAACAGTATGTGACTCCCCAAGAACTCTTTTAAAAATGGAATCTATTAGGTACTAAAGCTTACCCAGAGAGATGGGACAATGAAGAACAGTACTTAAATTCTTATATTCCTTTAATGACTTTACCAGATTATTTAATTTGGATCAAGGCCAATACATAAAATGTTTAACATGTTTTATTTTAGTGCAAGGAAAACCCTTGTTTTTCAGGGTTCAAAAAAATGATATATATTGTGGCCTCAAGAAAATCTATTAGCTAGAAATGGTAAGACTGGGCCTAGTAACATATCAGACACAGCAAGCCTTGGAGGACTTCCAAACTACTCCTGAGTCCTCCAAAATCTGATGAACTTGGATCATTACTTTCATCACGGTTGAGTCACATGCTTACAACACAAAAGCAGTAGTTTTGTGTTTAATGGGTTCTCTTTCCACTTACAATAGAAATAGAATCACAGGCTTTGTTAACAAATAAGAATACAACTAAGTAACTGAATAATCATAGGATGTACTCTCCCTAATAGATCATGAAAATCAGTCAAAACCTTTATTTTGGATAAAGAAATTTTAACCCTGAGAGTTAGCAGCTGCATTGTGGAAATCTAAAACAGCTCCTGATCCAATCCCAACCATACTGTATGCTTCAACTTTTACAAAGTAATGAATAATAACAAAGCTCTCCTTTAAATTACCAAACAAATTGTATAATTATCTTACAGATTTATATGAGTGCCCACATACCATAATATACAGACATTGTTGAAAAATCAACTTTAAACCATTTTTACATTTCCCTTTCCCACTAAATCTAACTTTTACTTCCAAATGGAGACATTAAAGGTAAGCTTTTTTTTGGCAAAAGTTTAAGTGATCATTTATGCCAAAGGAGAATGAGAGCTTCTGGGATTTTTTTTTTAGTAATTAATTTTTTTTTTTTTTTTTTACCAGATTTTTGCTACTCTGTTTATTTGCAGATGTTTTATTTCTAATTTTTTTCTCCTTTCACAATTAGATTTATATTAATTGATGTAATGGTCACTGGGGTTGTTAGCTATCTTAATGCTTTTAGGATTATCATACTTACCTGATATTTATGAACTATCAATGAGAAAACTTTAAGAACTCCAAGAAAATAAAAGTGTAGTACTGTTTAAACTTTTAACTTTTTGTGTGAGTTACTATTTCACCACTTTAAAAATATACTTAGACATCAAAACATTCAGAAATTTTATTAAATCAACCACATTTGTCCCTCAAATGACAATTTTTGTCTTTGCCACAGAAAAGTTATGTGTAATATTAGCATTACCCATTTATTTCAGAAACTAAGAATATTTTATTCAACTTCAATCTTGAAAATTAGACAAATTTTCGTAAGGATTTTGAAGCTGGCCAAATTATCATTTCCATCCCTATTTTCAAATTATACTTTAAAATATTTTCTTCAAATTTTATTTTAAAATCAAAATCATATATCATTTGCATAATTAGAATGGAATAGTGAGTTCATTCACATGTAAAGATTGGTGAGTTTTAATATTATGAAATTATATATTTATTAAATGCTAAATTTAAATTCTTAAAAGTAAATTCATTTTCTTTAAAAAATAATCATAATATTTGTTATTGTTAAATGTCTTCAAGTCGATTCCAATTCATAGCAACCCTGTACAGGGCTTCCAAGGAGTGGCTGGTATGTTTGAATTGCCAACATTGTGGTGGGCAGTCTACTGCCTATCTTATAGCACCACACCAGGGCTTCTTGTTGTTGTTAAGTGCTATAAAGTGGGTTCTGACTCAGCCACCTTGTATAGGGTTTCCAAGGAGTGTCTGGTGAGTTTGAACCAACAATTTTGCTGTTCAAACTGACCTTGCAGTCCAGTGCTTTATCCAACAGCACCACACCAGGACTCCACACCAGGGCTTAGAGTCATAATTAATTCTAAACTGTTTCATCCCAATTGTTATTAAGCTTGGTCATCATAATGGCTCTTTTAATGAGATCTTTCCTAAATTTTTCTGTAAGGATTGGTCTCCCAATCTCTCTATACTATTTTAAATAGGAATGTAATTTAAGAAATAAATGTCTGTCTCTCTTCTACTTTCTGCCAATAAGATTATAAAGGGAACTGGGTTAATATGTTAGGCACCCATGTGTGTTGTCACTGTGTATATTGCAGAACTGACTGGGCCTTCCTTGACTCCCCCTAGTTGCCATGTGGAGTGTGCCACTCTGGTGGTCCCTCAGGGATCCAGGAGCACCTTCCTGTTATCATACAGTATTTCATACTTTCCTTATGAAATTAGGATGTTGTTGCTCTGAGCTGGAATTCTGGAAAATTAGACCATTTTGGCATTTGCTCATGGACAGATGTTGAAATCATAAATTATCAGGAAGAAAATGAGAGGGTGTCATCCAAGACAAAGGTTACTGTTCAGGACAAGCTGATTTGTCCTGTTCTCTGAAAATTGTTTCCTCTAATCACTTGTACTCCTCCCCACTCTTTCTCCCCAAATCTACCTTTTCCATTTGGGAATTTATAGGTACATGTTTGAAGAATGCTAAAACTGGAAAAACAACACATAATGCTACATTAGATATAGGGGAATTTCATTATGAATCCAAATGGACACTTCTTAGACAAGTTAAAAAAAAAAAACCTCTTCCTCAACTGCTTCTCAGAGATTACAAAGGAAGGAGAAAATATCCAAATGGATACCTATGAGGTTTGTTCTTATGATAACCCTTAAACAGTAGAGGTTGTGATCACAGAGGGCAAAGATCCTGGCAGCTCTAAGATATTTAGAACAATGCTGCTACTTTTACTTTGAAAGTTTCTTCTTTTATTGAATTATTTATGTAACAGTCTAGTTTAATTGCATTGTTCAGAGAATGCAGATTGTACAACTGCTCCTTGTGAGAATATATTACTATTTCTTTATCAATTTTTAAAGATGCAAAGATACTGGAAAAGGCAACAAAGCCTCCTGAGGATACAAAGTTTATTAGAAATCTATTAAATATGCCTCCTCCATTATATCATTTGGATATGCTTTTGCATCTTGAGCTATCAAAAACTAGATGTGTTCAATTCAGTGATTTTTGTCTTCTAAAAGTATCTAAAAACATTCTTTTTAACAATATTTCCTTCATCTAATTCAATAACTACTATTTTATACATCCTCTTGGTTTTACCTCATAATATTTGCTATTGAATTATTTTTCAGATTATCTTTCTCTAATTTTTTTTTTTTACATTTACACTCAGGTTTATAATAAAAAAAGACAGTAATTACTTAGATGTAAGTGACTTCTTTGTTTGTTTCCAGATCTTTGTTACTAGGACTTTTCCATATTTCTACCGTCAATTTTAAACATGTCGTCTGGTATATGCTTATAAATTTTATAATATGAATACTTAAAGCCATCTTTCTCTCTGGTTCACTTGCAAAAGAGTTTGCTGTTGTCGTTAAGTGCTGCCAAGTTGGTTCTGACTCATATGCCTTGTATGGGGTTTCCAAGGAGCTGTTGGTGGGTTTGAACTGCCGACCCTGAGGTTCAAACTGACTTTGCTGTCCAGTGCTATATCCCACTGCACCATACCAGGACTCCTATAAAAGAGTTTAGTTGGATGTAAATTCTTGGGTCACATCCTTTGCTTTGGAAACTTGGCTGATATCTTCTGACATTTAATGTTGTAATGAGCATATATCATCATGTATTGTCGTCTTGTAAAGATTAACCACCTCAGCTATGAAGTCAATCAACTTGATGGCAATGGGTAGGTATCTGTTAAATATGCTATTCAGAGTGGAATCTAATTTTGTTATGTTGTTGTTGTTGTTGTTAATTGCTGTCAAGTCAATTCTTACTCAAAGCAACCCTGTATCGTTTCACCTTAAATTCTTTATAACAAGTCTCTTTTCATCTCATTCTATGATTTTTCAATATACTATCTTCTCCTATGGCTTTCAGTCACTGCTTCATGGGCGTTATTTTGTGGCATTGCATTGTGGTTACTGAATTTTTTAAAAAAATATTTTCTTTGGATCCTGGCAAGTTTTTTCTAGGAACAAACCTGGCCTCCAAGTCTTTGGGGTGACATTCCCTTTCAGTGTTCAACAGTGTTTTTAGCCTCATGCTAAACTTTCACATTTGCTCATTCTTGAGTAGTGAAACCTATGAGCAGGAGTTAGTGTTGGGTGCTTCGCCTCCCTCTTTAATAGTATGGGTAATGACCACATTCTCTGATGTCTTGTTGCAGAAAAGGTTGCTGGGCATTTCCTCTACATGCTCGCCTAATGTAGTTCTGATTTATTAAGAAGGTCTCCTATTCTTCACTGAATATCTGGTCTTCTGATGCTCTAAGCCAGTAGAGTACATTTACAGTTTCACGCCTTAGCAGGCTTTCCTATCAGAGCTTTTCTATTGTTAGTGACTAATGAGTGATATTTGCTGTATCAATGAATTTTAAGTATATTGTGCATGAGCCTCTAAAGTTCCATTCATCTACATCTTCAATATCTTCTAAGTAATCAAAGTGCCTAGTATATCAGATGACGAATACTGAAGCACAGAAAAGTTAGCTCATTTCCCCAGGCTCTTACAGCTAGGGATGAAGGAGCTAATGTTTAAAGTCTAAAATGATTTAAAACAAGTTTTAATGTATTTTAAATAACTTCAAATGTGGGGGAAAGGAATCAATCACATTTTTTTCCCAACACAGAAAGGACCTGAGTAAGCCATACTTCAAATTATCTTTCCTACACTTAAATATAAAACCGGTACAGTTAATATAACTTGAAAACAAAGACAACTGATTCTTCAGCATTTGATCAACTTCCCAATATTTCTGAATAATAATATGATATAATTCAGGAATCAGAGGCCCAGCTTCCATATAAGTAACACCTGCAGACTTGTGCATTTACTAACAGAGCCTGGGGCAGCAATACAAATAAAGGCTCACACACCAAATGTCTATATATTGAGAAGATACAATTCAAAGTAAAAACTTCTATCTTGATAAATGTGCCCACTCAATGACCTGAAAGACAAGGTTTGATTTAGAATTCTTAGCCTGCTTGTAACCTATCAGGTGGGTGGGATACAGGGATGGCAGTCCTCACCACTATCTCTCCTTCCAGTTCTGTCCTGAACCCTGGGGGCTCTAACATAACTCAAGGGAATGGAAAGAAAGCAGATTCTGTTAACACAGAGACTCAGATTCAAATCCTGGATACTTCAGCCTACAAACTCAGGTTAATCTTCACAATTAATCCTGCTGGGTAAGATTATTATTTTCATTTTACAAATGCAGAGACAAGTTAAAGAATATATTCCAGGCCACAACATAAGAAGTGGAGCC